GACAGCCAAGTACATTCCAGCCATCGTTCTACGAGGCATGTACAGTGAGCACGGGGCACACCCAACAACCAACGCGCAGGCACATTCCCAACACATTCCACGAATCATGGCTGATACGCTGAGCCAGGGGCACAGCCAACCCAGCCCCAACACATTCTACGCACATTCTAGACGCATGTATCACCGTGGGAAGCAGGCGGCACACCCAACACAGCCCAGCACATTATACGCACATTCCTAAGCAGTGTATCACAAGTGATGCCAGGGGCACCACCCACACAAGCCAGAGTCGACACCTTCCACGCATGTTCTAGAGCATGTATAGGTGGGAGACCAGGGGCCACACCAACACGAGCCAAGTACCTTACAAGCGAAATGTTCTAGGAGCCAGCGAAGTGAGCCAGGGGCACACCCAGACACAGCCCAGCACACTCCCCCGCGGCTCTTCCTACTCACCACGGCCTGGCTGGAGCTCTCCTGTAAGTCCCACAGCAGGATGTGGTTGTCGGCCAGCGAGATCACCTTCTTGCCGTCTCCCATGGGCTCCCACACGACACTGAGAGAACGAGAGGAGGCAGATATCAGCGTGGACGCTGGAGGCGCCCCGACTGGCGGCTGAGAGCTCTCACACGCACTCTGTATAGCTCGGCAAGCTCCCTGCCCGGCCCACAGTCACGCAGAGCGTCTACTGACACTAACATCTGATAATGTTTACGGTGGACACTGTTGTCATCTCGCTGCTATGGAGTACACTGTGTCCCCCAAATTCCCGTGTTGAAGCCTAACCCCCAGGGAGATGGTGGTGGAGATGTTCCTCCACTCACGGTGGGGCTGGGCCCAGCAAGCCCGTCATAAGCTGAGCGTGTGTCTCATACGCCTGTTAGATAGGCTCAATCTAAAGCTTCCTCCTTCCCTCGGCTTCTCCTCCTCCCTCCCCTTGCCTTCCCTTCCTTCCTTCGCTCCCTTCCCTCTTTTTTTTTTTTTTTTTTTTTTTGACAGAGTCTCACTTTGTGCCCAGGCTAGAGCGAGTGCGTGGCGTCAGCCTCGCTCACAGCAATCTCAAAGCTCCCTGGGCTCAAGCCGATCCCTCACTGCCTCAGCTTCCCCAGGAAGCTGGGACTATAGGCATGCGCCACATGCCCGGGTAATTGCTTATTTTAGTAGAGACGGAGGTCTCGACTCTTGCCTCAGTGCTGGGTCTCGAACTACCTGGCTCAAATGATCCCGCCCTTCGGCTGCCCTGAGTGCTGAGATTACGGGAGGCCCACCGTGCACGGCCTCCTCCCTTTACATATTTTAAACTCGAGGCGTTCTCTGTAGGGAGTGAGATCCGTAACCTAACGGGACGTGTACAGAGCATAACAACAGGGGAATATGAACAGGTGGTGGAAATGAAAATTTGTGATATTTGCCAATTCAGATTCTGTGCCACTGGATTAGTGGTATATTATTATTTAATTAGTCCTTCGCTGAGGTTTCACATATCTTAAAGATAACATTTGCTTTTTATTTGACAATATGGGCATCAGCACACTTCTTACGCAGCGCTCAGCTCCAAGTAAAGCCAGAGCTTTTTTAATAATTTTCCTATCATCCTATTTAATATATGCACGAAGCAGATGTGAATATATGTTTGCACATGTCACTTCAACAATCACTGACGTGTGAATATCTCGACAACCTGCTTTGTATGCTAATAATAATGAACTTGACAAAACAGCACCGTGTACTTTTCTTCAAAATACTCTTTGCAATTTAAAATCTACAAAGAATTTTCTTTTCCAGAAAGTGGGAGGAGGCAAATAACAGGAGCCGAATGCAGAAGTGAGGCTTTCTTTGGATTTATACTGATTACTCAGCAGACTATCGATTTTTGTGAACAAGACAATGAGAGTCACCAAGGCCTTTCCCCTTTTTGTCTTCCTAAATAGTATCTCTCTAGTCATGTATCTCACTTCCCCTGAAGTGAGTCCCTTTGTTGCTTAACAATAATTAACTGAAAATTAGGAGGTGAGGTGCAGAAAGAAACTGTGTGTAGCTTCTAAGAGAGGCAGTTTAGGGTCATGATTAAAAGTGTGGGCTTTGGAGTCACATGACCTAGTGGCAACCATGGACCTCTGCCATTCATAGCCAGTGACCCTTGGGCGATTTAAAACTAGGTCTTGGTTTCCTCTTCTGTTAATGTTAACTTGAAGATGAACTAAAACAGGTTGCAAGGCATTAGCATCTTGCTAGTAAGAGTAAATAATCAGTGTGTGTTATTTAACTAATGGTTACTTCCCAAAACTTTCTATCCATTGCATCTTTACCTCCTTACTCACATTGCATGGGATTCATCTACCCAGATATCATCCTGCTACTGTCCTCCTACGGACTGTAGGTGGCTCCAATGTCTGGATCAGTGTAACTCGAGTTATTTTTGTCTTTGAGGACATGGAACTCTTCACAGAAAAAATGCGTGTATATGCACTTCCCCCCAAACTTATGACAATTCCGAGTTTTTGGTCACGAGATGAACATTTGTCACTTTTTGCTGTTGATCCACATGTGAACTCACTTTATGTTTGGGGAATCCATCTTGTTGTGGGAATCTTGGCAGACGACAGAATCTCACTCCATTGAAATCCACCAGGCTCTCTGCAAACATGGCGGCCTGCCAGTCCAGACTGGTCTAGCAGATACGAGCCTCTGGTCTGGAGGACCATTTCCAAATGCAAGAGCACCCCACTGTTTTTCCAGGCTTACTTCCCAGGACACCAGGTCATTCACTTTTTCCCAAAGTTCCAAGCATCACCACTGCATTAAATACGCGCTCTCAGGATTGTACGCACCATGTCTCGTCCCTTCTCCCTTAGCCTGCAAACCTCACTCAAATGTTCTGACCCATGTAACAACTTTTAATTTGACAGAAGAATGAAGTCATTTCCCTATGGTGCTTACATATACTAATCTAGCTGATTTGTTTGTGTATTCATTTATTTTGTGAAATTAGAAAACTCTTTGAAAGAAAGAAACCATTCTAATTAACCTTTTGTCTGTCACCTCCAGTCAGCCACAGTTTCAGGCAGGGGGAAAGGCTCCAAAAATATATTTAATTTGTTGGGCAATTGAATATATGAAAAGTGTTCAGCCTCACCAGTAGTCACAGAAACACAACTTAAATAACAATAAAAGAGTTTTTTCATCTCAGATTTGCAAAAAAATAAATCAAAAGTTGCAGAGTCTTGGAGAAGTGATGCTCTTCACCACTGCTGCGAGGCCAGGATAATGAATTATACAAATTTTCTGGTGGTCATTCACAAGGTGTTATCAAGACTTTAGTTATGTTCATCGCCATTTGAACCCAAGCATTGCATTTCTAGAAATTCATTAAACGAAACATTAAAGGATGTGAGCCACATTAACACAGCGTTATTTACAGTAGTGAAAAATGAAAAACAATCATCATGGGATTATTAAATCAACTGTGTGGATTCAATGATCAAGAAAATCAGTCGTAAAAAATGATCTGTAGAGGAATATGCCTTAAAATATATTCAAAATCATATCAGAAGTACTACAATAATCAAGTGAAAATAGCTGGTAACAGAATAGTAATTATCATAGGAGCGCAAGAATACACAGACAGATTCACTTCCAATAACAGAATTTGGGAAGACGCCACCAAAATTAATAGTGGTTTTCTGCATGTGTGCTATAAGCGACTTTTTTCCATCCTTTAACTTGTTTGTTCTATAAGGAATCCTGTTAGTGTTTAACAAGAAGACACACTTAATTTATTGAATAAAAACTCATCTTTTAGACTCACTTAATTTTAACTGTTTGCTCTCTTCGCTTCCAGTTTCATTCCTCGTTTCTTTCTTTCTTGGAAGCTTTTTAAATAAATATACATGTAAAACAGTGTAAAAATTCCAAATAGATCAAAGGGTAGAAGTGTGCTCTTCTCCCTGCCCTGTGCCTGGTCACTAGTTATCATCCCCAGAAAGGCCAAAAAAAGCCCCCTGGGTTTGTCAGTTTCCTGTGTATCCTTCCAGATATATTTTTTTTAGAATGTGCATATATAACTTTTCTTACATAAATGATAGCATACTATACATAATTTCGCACTGAGATTTCATTTTGTTTTATCAAATGTATAATACTTACACAATTTAAAAGTAAAATGTTTCTAGAAAAGCATATTAATGAAAAACAGCAGTCCTTTGAACCCACTCTCCCATCTTCCTCATTACCCCCAATCCTTGCCATGAAACGACCAGTCAACCACCGTTAATTCTTTTATGCGTTTTTCTTTTGGTATTTTGCCTCTATATCTCTAATGATCTCCTGTATACTTCTTAATTTTCAGTTTGCACATTATCCATTTATTTCTCCCCATCAAGATAATAATAGCTTTTCTCACTCTCTCTCCACAACTTCTCTCTATTTCACTTTCTTCTCCCCACCCTCCAGTATAGATACAACTTGCTTTGGTGAATAAATAGTTTTCATTTATGCTACAAGTACAATGCAACACAGCTGGCTACGAAATGCTCTAATGATACATTTCTTCTTGTACAACTTTCATGTCCTGTTCCAGGAATTAATTGTTTGTCTTTTGCTTGGTTTTTCATCCATTATGGACTCATCCCCCAAAACAACTCAACCAAAGGGGCAAATTGCCTCCCTAATACTTTTTGGAAACATCTGATTCTTAATTCCATCTTTTTGCCGACAAAATCTGTCAGGGAGCATCTTTCTCCAACTCCTGTCTGGCCAGGTGGCTCTCTGGGCTGCCATATGCTCTTGTCCCAAGAGCCCAGAGGCTCTTTCGGTCCCGGATTCTCTCCTGTGTTTAAGCCCTGCGCCTTCTGACCTACGGTGGACGCATTCTTCAGTAGCTTCCTGGGGAAAAGGGCATGTGGAATGTAATTTTTTGAGATCTTGCATTCTGAAATGTCTTTATTTCATCCCCACGTTTCGTTAGTCCCTTTGCGGATGACGAATTCAGATTAGCATTTTTTCCTCTAGAAAGTCCAGGGTTTTTTTCTAGTGTTTCTGTCAGGATTGATGCCATATGTCCCAACTGTTTTTGGTTTGATATTAATTTTTATCTTCTGGGAGTTTCCTACAGCCTTCTCCTTTGTGCTGTATTCTGGAACTTAATTATGGCGTGCTTGACATGGCTTATTTCCATCCTTTTATGAGGATTGTCTCATGCGTTGATGAAGTTCTTTCCATAGATGTTGCTCGTCTCAGTTCTGAATGATTTCCGTGCGAGGTGAGGATCGGTGTTTTGGAGAGAGGTTCTTCCATCTGCCTGTGTTGACTGAAATTTCTCTTTTGAATGATTGTTATTTTTTCTGTGTGGTTATCGTCTGAGCAAGTGTTTTTTTCATCGCATATACAATATTGTCTGATTTTGTACGGTGTTTCCATTGGTTCGAGCCTGTTGTCGTTGTTTGTTTCATGTCCTATTCGACGAGAAGTTGAGAGTGATTTGACAATTGAGTGCGGTCTATTTGATTTTTTGCTCTTGTTCTAGTTTTATTTTTTAAGTTAGGATTGGAGGTTGTG